ATCAGAACGAAAAACATCTTAATAATCCTCCTATTGAAATGCCTTGCTGCTGAAATGTGCTATACAAATAAAAATTGATTGATTGATGAGTGATAGTTATGGTGCAGCTGCAATGAAATTCAAGTTTGAGCTTGTTGCCAAAAAAAAAGTCAAAACTGGCATTTAGTTGCAAAATATTTGGAAAGTGCAAATGTTCTCAGGTGAAAACATTTTGTCATGAGGCGTGTGGTTGATGGTGAGGAGAGAACGCAGAGACCCAGGTATGAAGATGATAATGATGAATTTAATGATGAGTTTAATGATGAAATTGCTCGATAAACAGTCCAGGACAGGCAGCACGGCAGGAACCAAGCACACAGCTAAATGCCGGTAGCAACTGACAATAAGGACAAAACGAGAGCAAGCACAAACCAGGACTTGGCAGTTCTACTGGAGAGTGCGGACTACATTAGACAAACCACTAGACATACGTTTGACAAGGACCCGACAAGGAACACAGACAAAAGGTGAGACTAAATATACTGAGAGGGTAATCACAGGAACGAGACACAGCTGGGATCAATCAACGGAGAGGACAGGACAGAAACTCACAGGGAAACAGGACTAAACACAGAAAATGTCAAAAATAAACACAGAGAAACACGGATCGTAACAGCAACACTCACTACATTGTATTGCAATTTTGCAGGATAATTTGTCCTGGAAAATCAAGTCTTGCATTTGATAATGCATTTGACTGGATATCCTGCATTATTAAAAACATTAATTAAATGCTAGTTATTGATAGGTGTGCAATTATTATCATTAGCTAATGTTTTTGTTATTTTCTCCATGAACGGAAGTGTAATTTTTCTTTTCATTTCTGATAAATGAGCTGGGCAAAGTGACTGAAAAATAAAACTTAGATATACTGAGGGATGACGAAACTGGCTTATTTGCTTGTCTCATTTATTTCGGATAATAGTTGCAGGACAAAAGACGACAGAGAGAGGGCAAGAAAGTGTCAAGATAGAGCTCTGTGATGAGCTAACATGATGAGTTAACAACCCTTATCGGCTTGTTAAAGCAACAGACATGGTGATGTCATAAAGTTTTGTTTTTTTTTTAATACAAAAATTGTCAAATATTAATAGATTTTACTGCACGTCTTGGTTGCGGGCCTGTCCAGGGGAACTGTCCAGGATCCGCGGTACAATATCAAGGCCATATCAATAAAATTGATTAGGTAATGATACTAAAGAAGCGCATTTTCTCCGATTATTGATTCACGTTTGAATAAATACGGTGACATCTTAATTAATCGAACTGTGTTTCTTCTTACCTGTTTTTTTTTTTTTACACGCAGGCACATCAATACCCAGAGACGCAACGCGGAGTGATGGGAAAACGCATTTTGGGAAATTGTGGCATGACTCATCTTTCGAGAGGTTTTTTAACTCACAGAAAATATTCATTGTCACACACAGATTTAACAGCGTTGTTGAGATCAAAACGCAAAGGCGGAGGCGTGAGGGGGAATGAAGGAAACTGATTTTAATTGGGAAAATGCAGGAAACAAATAGGAGACATCACAAACTGAGGAGCTGGCGGTAAAGATGTGCATTTTTTAAAAATACTACTACGTGTTAATTTCTGAAAGCTACTCTGGTAAGCAAAAAGAAAAGAAAAACAATTTCAGTTTGTGATCGTGACAGTATGCCTCGGTTAATGACAGGGAAGATAAAGAAACGAAAAATAAAAATATCACCCAACACCAGTCCGCCGAAAGTTGGTCAAATTTGAGAGATCCACAATTAATTGCAAAAGTAATGAGACAGAGCTTATATGATGTGAAAAATGTAGATTGTCCTTAAAAATGATTTCTACCAAATTAATTAATAAAAATGAATGACAAACACTAGATAAACTTACTTAATCTCAAAAGCTGAATCCACCCCAGATCCAACACCTTACTAATGCTTCCTTATGTGACTCAACACCTGTCTAATAACCTCAACAAATGACATTCCGTGGGCGTTTTCGGTGCCTTTCAGGCTCTCTCGTTTGATGGGGTTAACATGCACTCCATGCTTATAAGTGCCATATTTTTAGAAGATATCATAGGAGGTGGGACTTCTCACGGTAACCTATTAAAGGCTCCTTATGATTCTGGTTTCAACACCATCAGGTCAGATGCGGTAAAGATGCTTTCTCTGAACAAGCTCGGATTGGGTAAGACTTTGGAGGCATTTTTTTCTCTCTGTTGTGCACTTTGAACATGTTTATGACTTGTTTTCCCCCCTCCAGTGTTCCTGACGTGTGGTTTCTTCACTTTTTGTGGTGAGTCTGTATTTATATTGAGCTTAAATCCTACAGATGAGCAACTTTTGACCTAAGTTTTTCACGTTTATTTTTATTTTTTTTTATTTTTTTATTTTTTTACTTAATATCTGACGGTGTCTGTGCATGTAAGCAGAATTTACAGTAGATTTTAGAAACACTTGAAATGTGGGAGGTGGGGTCTCCGTGGATGCCCGGAGTCTGAACCTCCTTTCCATCACATCAAATAGAGTAACTTGCTCCCCAGGCCGGCTTGTTCTTTGGGAGGCGCGCACCAGGAGCGCAGCGGCGCGTCTCGTAACGCGTGCCCAATTTGCGCCTCAGCAGAAGCTACTTATTAGGAGCGTCAGAGGCAAAACGGGAGGGACAACGTGATATGATAATTTAATGGAAATACTCTTTGCTGTGCTGTTGGAGCTTTGCGCTGCGCCTGTTCTGTTGGAGCTGCCGCTCTCCTGCGGAGAGCAGAGCGGAGTCTTTGAGAATAGGGGTGACGGAGAGGCGATCGGGACGGAGATAGAGGATGATTTGCAAGAAAGTTAACAATCGTATGCGTGCCAGCTTTCCAGAAGGTGACTTCTGCTGCGTTTGATTTCGCGCTTCGAAGAGGATGCAGGATGCAGAAAAAAAAAAAAAAAAACAGTTCCGCTCCACCAAAAAAGAACTGAAATTCATTTCGGAGGTTTGTTTGTTTTTTGTTTTTTTTGAAACCGCATTGCTTTCAAATCTGTTCCTGTGTGTGGACGCGCTTAAAGGCTGAATTGAAAGGTGGATGTGAGCCGAGGGACAGTTTATGTTATCTGTTATCGGTGAGCTGCAACATAATGGTGATCTTTTGACTTGATGCGTTCCTGGCAATTTCCCAAAAATGTAAGAAGTGCGCTACTTCACATGCGTATTATATTGTATTGTTTGAAGATAGACCACAAGTTCACCTGAATCATTTGCTTCTTGCAGATCCTGCGGCAACAACGACACGTGAGCAAAAGTGAGTTTATTTCTTATCATTCTTTATTATTTGTTTAGTTTTTATTTATTTGCATTGTCGAAACGAAGTATTTTATTCTAACACTCAGTATTGGTGTGTTTATTTAAAAAAAAAAACACGCACACACACACAAACACACGCAAAAAAAAAAAAAAAAAAAAAAAAAAAAATTTGGGATAGCCCAAAAAAAAAAGGGGGGTGTT